TTCTAGTCCTACCTGTCAGGCCCCCACACCACAGGGGACCCCCCCGGGAACAGCTATCCCTGCCTCTGACCCCGAGCTGTGGGGGCTGTAGCAGACACTCCGTCGTCCTCCTGCAGTACCAGAGTCCCAGTTATTTATGTCAGGGTCGCCCGGATGAGATATCTGGGGGGAGACTCAGGCCCCCCACACCTCAGAGAGGTGCTCTTCAAGGAAGACCCAACTTCCCTCACTGGGCCAGTGGTGAGGACCCCCAACAGTTCTGACACCCATGAGACCTCAAGATAGTGAGGTCCTAGGCCTAGGATGGAAAGAGGCTGTGACCAGCATGGGCACTGAGTGGAGGTCAGGAAATCTGAACTCTGGAGGTCACCAGATCCCGCTGCCAAGACCAAAGCCTCTCAGCCCTCGTTGGACCACCGAAAACTGTCAGCCTGGTGTCTGTGACTCCCTCTGTCACCACTTCCACTCCTTGGGCTGGTCCCCCAAACACCATCATGGGCTTGTTCCCTTCACCCGCCCCTCAGATGTGCCTGTTCCCCAGGCCTGGCGCCGTCCCCTTCCATCTGCTCTCCTGGGCAAGCGCCTCCATTCGGGGCTCCGGCTGTGTTCCACATCCACGGCTCACTCCTCTGCCCAGACCACTACCCGGGGATCCAGCACCCAGACTCGCCACCTCCTGGCCTCTCCACCTGACCTGAGGGACTCGGGTGGCCAAACCCGAGCTTGCCCTCCTCCCACCGCGACCCGGCCCCTCCCGTGTTCCCTGCCTCGGAGAATGGCGTCACCAGCCACCCCAGCTCCCGAGCTAGAATTAGGAGTCATCCAACACACAGTCATCCTCAACACCTCCCTCTCACCCCCACATGGAATTGGTCATCAACTCCTATGGATTTCATCTTCAGAAAGAATACCCAGCGCACCCCCTCTAAGCCCCCGCTGGCAACGCTGTAGGGCAGGACCTCAAGCCTCTCTGATTCCCACAGCTGCCCTCTCACCTACCCCCAGTTCATGTTCTATACCCACCATCGCCAGCAAGGCCTGTCTGAAATGAAGTCTGGAGTGTGGCCCACCCCTGCTCAAAATCCTTCCATGGCTCCCCATTGCCCTCAGATAAAATGCTAACACCTTATGTGGCCTGCAGGGGCCTGCCTGTTCTACCATTCCCTGCCACATTCCCAACACTGCCCACACCAAACAGCCCATGCTGGCCAGAAGTAGCTTTTCCTTTCACCCAGCAAGCTTTTCCTGCCCTCTCATCAAAATCCTCCATTTTCTTCCTGGCTCACCTCCTCTGAGAAGTCTTCCTTCCTTGTTCTTTCATCAATAAATTGTAATCTCCTATCCCCTCCCCAGTTTCCATGGCACTTTGTCTGTCTCCGTGCGATCCATCTGCTTGCCTGTCTGACTCCTCCCCTAGACTTTGAGCCTCTCAAGGGCATAGGCTGGTCTTGTCCATCTCTGTGTGCCCAGCCCTGCCGTGTGGAGTTGGCAGCCAGAAACATCTGTGGAGTTGAGGGTCAATCAAATTGAAATAAGAGGAAAAAGCCTTGAATGGCAGCTCTGTCCCCAGGCCCTTGCTCCTGAGGCCTCAGCCACTGTCACCGGAGCCTTCTTACTGTCTGCTTCTCCCCCAGGATCCCCTCCTACCTGCTACCCTCAGCACGATGGGGAGTCCAGAGGGACCTGGGTCTGTGACAGCCGCTACTGGGAGGGTGAGGCCTTGGTCTCCATTTGGGCCAGCGCTCTCCAGGGAGTGGGCCGAGTGGGCCGTGGCCCTGGCCCCTGGGTCCTGCGCCGCGGTGCTGAGCAGCCTCTCCGATTTTAATGCGGGCCTCAGTGCTTCAGTGAAAGCCGGCATGGGAAGTTGCTAATAATGGCACTAAAATAAAATATGCTACATCTGTTATGGGTAGCAGAACAAAATTAGCTGCTCACACCTCTGACATCCAAGATGTCTTAACTTAAAATACTCCTTGGCTTACTTTACATCATTTACTGATTATATTTAAAAGAAATACAATTTTGCAATTACTGTTCTTTCCAGCGTGATATCTATGCATCATTTTCCTTTTATGTTTATATATTTCTCCTTCATTAGTGCAGTCTGAAGGGTGATTAGGATTCTTCAAACATTTTACAGAGGTTAAACGTTGATTAAGATTTAATTATTACTGTAAATAGCTTGGAATGACATATGGTGCAAAAGCCTGACATATGTGCATTTGAATAAATGAAGTGCTATTTCCCAGGATGCCTCAGTAGCTGTTTAACAGCTTTCCCGAAGGGTTATGTTACACCTCATGGTAAGATTGCTGGGATGTTATATTTTGTTGGTTTTTGCAGCTGAAAGCTAAGAACAGTTTTCCAGTTTTTTAAAAACATTGAATATTTTAAATACCTAAATTGTTTTGCACAAATTTTTGCTAATTTGTCTAACTAGGTTAAACATTTTCAAAAGCATTTAGATTTTTAAGCGTGGGCGCTGTGCATTGTGTCAGTGGCAGCGTGGGGACAAGGGGAGCTGGTGGGGTGGAGGGGACTCAGAGGCCAGTAGGAGTGGGGAGGGAGGAGGTGGTTTGAGGAGAGGGGGTAGGGAAGAGACTTGGGCCCTGAGCCTAGCTCTTGTCTCCTTGGTCCTTTCAAGTGGCCAAAGCCTAGGTTTTGAGGGACCATGGACTACAGGGGATGGTCCCCCTTTCTCCAAGAACTCCATCATGCCCACCAGCTCTAGGCCACACCAAATTCCCTCTTGTCTGGCCTCTGCTGTGCACCTGGGTATGACAATTCTCTGAAGGTAGAGCCAGCCTCTGGCACCTTCTGCCTGCTCCCCTGGGTTGCCATGTTTGACAGCTTGCAGGTACCTGGAACCAAGCTCAGCTGAGCTAAGTTACAAAGGTCTGGTGCCTCCTTAACTCCACCCAGGCCCGTTGCCAGACTGGGGCCATCTCACACAGGCAGCACCTCCTTCCCTTCACCTCCTTCTGGCTGGGGGCTCAGGCATCCCCAAGGCTCAGTCCCTGGAGCTGCGGAGGTGATGTCTGAGTTACTGTGGAGCCTCTGGGGGGACTTTATTCTCCCAGTGCCTTCTGTACCTCATCTTCCCACTCATTTACTCAACCCTCCTGAATGTCTACTGTGTATTAGTACGAGGCTTTGTGGGTACAGGGTGGAGCTTGCCATCCAAGGGGGGACTGGAGTGGAGAGAGGAGTGACCGCTCCCCCCCGAGGCCATGTGACACAACTCGGGTACAAGAAGTGCAGGGAGCCGTGGGGACCTGGAGAGGCGGCCACACCGGCCTGGGTGAGGGACGGTGTCTAATGCCGAGACCCAGAGGATCAGCCGAAGACGAGGGAAAGCAGGGTGTGGGAGAGGAGAGGAAGTGGCAGGGGGTCAGCTCTGGCAGACTCAGGGTAGACTGAGAAGAAGCTGGCGTGCCCATGTCTCGGTCCCAGGGGGTTGGCAGAGAGGGGTAGGCAGGGGCTGGGTAGCGCAGGAGTCTGGGCTGGGTCCCGGAGGGCAGTGTGACCCCTGTGGCTGAGAAGGCTTGCGCTGCGGGTGAGGGCGCCAGGGCACAGGCTGAGTGGGCGAGGCTCGAGGGGAGGGGGGGCGAGGAGGCGAGGAGGCCCCCGGGTCTCTAGCCAAAGCACTATAGGTGGGGGTGTGGGGAGCCAATTTGGGGAGCAAGAGGTGATGAACTCAGTTCCATCTCAGATGGGTGGAGTTTGGACGCCTGTGAGACATCCACGGGCAGGTCTAGCCGGCAGCTGGTGGCAACCTGAGCTCTGGGGGCAGAAACATGGTGGGAGATGCCTCAGATCTGGGAGTTACCAGTTGTCACCCAGGGGTCTGTGCAGAGAAAAGGTGAGACCGAACCCTGGGGACCCTGAGGGTGTCCAGCCGATGTCACATGAAAGAGGCCAGCGTTGGCCTGGGAGGGAAGATTTTCATGTAGTAGAGTGAAACCAGAAGCCGCGTTTACTGTGGACAGTAATGTCAGCGAGAGGTGAGGAGGGGGCGGTGTGCAGACAATGAAGTAAAGAAATTTGCCGTTGGGGGGAGAGATCAGGGGTCTCTGAGGGAGGGTTGGCTCCGGTGGGGCAGAGGGAAGGCAGGCGTGGAGCAGAGTGTGGACTGAGGTTGAGGGTTTGAGGTTCAGGGTTCCTTCTGGTGCCTTCTGATTTTCCCTCAAGTAGGAGGAAGGTGTGTAGCTCAGGGTGAGTGGGGAGCTGAGGTCTGAGTGACTGAAGAGCACAGAGAAGCTGCGTGTGGCCTCTGAAGGATGGGAGAGGGCGTTGACAGTGTGGCTGGGGGCCGGGGTAGGAGGTGCGACAAGGCAGTTGCCAGCTGCTGTGCGTGTTCAGCCAGAGTCAGGGACAGTGAGTTCCAGTGGTCTCTAGCAGGTTCAAGTGGAGCGAGGCGGATACATGCTGGGGTCCCCCACAGCCGGGCTTCCACCAGTCAGGGCTGGAAAGGCCTGGGGGCTGCAGAGCGGCTGAAAGGATGACCCCAGTGCCTAGGTTCAAGGGAGTGATGTGAAGACTGAGCTGCCGGGCATTTAGGGACTCATGTCTTGGTGGTCTCAAGGCAGAAAGGGAGAGTGCGTGGCGTGCTGGAAAGAGAGGCGACTATGGCTTCCAACAGGGTCGGGGTTTGGCTGTGGAGCTGGGTGGCACCCTGGGTGGTGACCTTGTCCAGCCAGCAGCCCTGACGGTGGCTATGTGCAGCCCGGGGGCAGGTCCCTGCAGAGAAGGACGACACAGAACTCAGAGGCCACAGTCTAGGATGATCATCTGTGTTGACACACTGTCAGAGGAGGCCAGACCTGGGCTGGAAAGGATGCTGCGAGGCCTCGCCGGAGGGTGGTAGAGGGTGGTAGAGAAGGTGTCAGCAAGTGGCACATGGGCTCACTCAAGGGGTGGTCCTGCCTGCTACTCAGCCGCGTTCACCCCTACTTCCCACTCCCCTCACCGTTTCTTCTCTGTTCTCGCTCTCTCCTCAGATCGAAACATCCCAATTGGAGCCTGAGATTGCCCGAGCCACCAGCAGCCGGACAGTGGTGTATAACAAGGGGCTGTGAGTGGTGGCAGGGGGGCCTGGGGATGGAGCGGTGTCCAGGCCGGGGAGTTGGGGTGGGGACCAAGTCTTCTGGATTGCACCTGCAGGGAGGGGCAAGCTGACCCTGCCACCCGGGCCCCCTGGGGGAGCGCTGGACCCACAGTGGTAGGGAGACTAATCTATTTACACGTTAATATAAGGGAGAGGAGTTCTGACACATTTCCTATACAGAATAATCAAGTGCATTTTTGGGCCTTACCTGGGGTTGTCAAAACTCTACTCAGCACAATTATGTGTGAAGCTGAAACATTTGTAGAGTGCCCACAGGATAGAATTAGGATCCTTTTATACTTTGGTTTCTTTTTTATTTTTTATCAGAAGCAAGTCTGAGCCTTGGTTGCAGCTGCCCAGCTGCATTAGGTGGGGCAGTGGGGGTGGGAGTAGGCCTGGGGCCGGGTAGGCTTGGTGGCTGGGCTGGTGGCTTTGAGATATGGTGACCAGGCCCGATGGCTCACTAGCTGGGCTGGGGAGGGGACAAGGGGTGGTATGCATGTCACAAGATGTACCAGCTATGACTAAGGTCGTCAGGAGGTAGCCCAGGAAATCATGGAGACCTGGAGACCCCTGGAAGATTCTGTGAGCGACTGGCTCTGAGCGTGGCCAGACTGCATCCATGCTGCACCTGTGGAAACAGTCCCTCTGCACGAAGCCCAGTGGCAAGGTGGGAATGAGGTTACCCTTCATGGAGCCCTGATCTACTTGAGGCTCCTGAGATGACTTCAGCTCCAGGCAGGAAGCCCCAAGAAGGAAAGATGTTTGGTTTCCAGCTGCTATAGGAAGATCTTTCCAGTCCCCGAGGCCACCTGCCCCACCCACTGCTTTCTGATTGGGGGTGCAAGGGTGTCTTGTGCCTGAGAACTCTAGGCACCTAGCTGAGAGGCAACATCAACCTAGGAACAGAGGACCCCAGCGCCAGACTACCCAGCTGTGTGACCTTGGACAAGTCTATTCCCTTCTCTGAGCCTCTACTCCCTGTCTGGAACCAGAGGTCTGGATCAGGGGTTCTTAGCATTTCTTCCAGCTAGAGCTCATTTTGCCTGTCTTGTTCAGATGCTGGTCATTGCAGGCACATCCCCAGTGGGGACATAGACTGGGAAAGGGGCGGGCCCCTTGGGGAATGGCCAGCCTTTGGTCTGAGAACCTGGACCTTGCCCTCCTTTATATGTCCCCACATACTGGGAGCACTTGACCTTTGCCAAACACTTTCCAGTTCTGAAGGAGGAAGTATCATGGAGGCCTGGGCCTGGGTGGGGGGCCATGCCCGCATGCCCTCTCTCACGATGCAAGGGCCTCCAAGGGCCCTTCCTGCTGGCCCTGTCTCCCTCTCATTGGCAGACCAGCAAAGTGGAGAGAGCTCTGCTGAAGAAAGCAGGGCCTGAGGCAAGGGTGAACAGAGTAATCCCCTGGCCTGAAAGGTCCAAACAATGGGGAGCATGAGCCTCAGTGCACCCCTCACCTGAACTCAAGTGGAATGGAGTCCTTGACTTGCACCTCCCCGGTGACTCCACCTGAGGAGAGGTCTGGCTGGAGGGGATGCAGGCACCTGCAGGGAGAGGCTGGTGCAGGGCAGCAAGGGTGTGGCGAAGAGGCTGTCCCCACCCCTAGGGCAGGGGTACAGGAGTTGACACCATGTTCGATCCACAGTCCCTGCTGCCCTCACCTCCCAGCCAGGTCATGGCACCCCCAACTAGCTCTGCAGGATGCTGCCCTAAGGGTCCTCCCCCTGTCCCAAGGAGCAGCCCATGCCCTCCCCCACCAACCCCTGGCCTTCAGGAAGGGGAAAAGACAGAGACCAGCACAGAGGACAAAACTGTAGCAGGGAGGATGCCACAGAGTTGGAGGGGCATGTCCATGAGCTAATCCCACCACAATGTGAATGTGCCAACGACGGGGACCGGGCACATCCGGGTTCTCTTGAAAAGTAGAGGGCTGTGTCCTTCTCTGCTTCAAGTTCACCCTGCCCCTCCTTTCATAGGGTCATGTTCTTGTGCACTTTACTTTGGGACCAAAATTGCCTACTCCAGCCCCTGTCCCCCACTTCCAGAGGCCTGGATTTGGGGTTTCTCCAACTTCCCCTCTGTGCTGGCTGCTCTAGCCCTGCCCTAGCCCTGTGGACTCAGCATCTCATAAGCTTCTTACTTTGTCTCCCAGATGATTTCCAGTCATGCTCCCAAATGCACTCTTAGGTGAACCCTCCTGTAGTGGGCAGGATGGGAGGTGGCAAGGGAGACTTGCAGCTCAGGGGGAGGTGACAACACCTCAGGGGGCCATGCTGCAAGGTCCCAATCTGACTGCAGAAAACACCACGGGAAACTCTTAGCTGACATCCACCCCTACTCTGAGGCCTCATAGACAGGTCGGTTCATGACTGGGGAGAAGGCCAAGCCTGGACCCACAGACAGAGTAGGGCTGGCCAGCAGTACCAGAATCCAGGACACACCTGCAAGTGGTTCTCCAGCCCTGAGGTACCTGCCTGACCCTCCTCTGGTCACTTAAAACATTCCCTCAAGCTTGGCAATGCCCTTCTCCCATTTCCAGAGAGCAATTTGAGGGTATAGGGACCAAAAGCCCAAGATGTCAAGATGGTCACTGAGTCCAGATGCCCAATGGACTCTGTTCCACTTCCTGATTGTGAGCCAGCTTATTTCCAGTGTGGGGGTTCTGGCCTGTGAGGAGGATGGGGTCCTGGGAAGTAGGAGGGCCAGGGGACAGAAACAGTGGTTCTCCAGCCCTGGGCCATGTGAGTGAGGCACCAGCACACAAGCCTCATGCACTCCCAGGGGACTTGGTGGTAGCTTTTTAACCTTCTCAGAAAAATGTCTGTCTCTGTGATTTACCTAATACTAATGCACTGTGGGCAATAAATGATGGATTTAAAGCACCAGAACTTGGCCTTGTGAATTATGGGCTGGAGCAGTGGCAGTGTGGAAAGGCAGCAGGACAAGACAAAGGCCGCCTGTGGGTTTGTAGAAAGGACCCCAAGAAAGATGCAGACCCTGGCTCCTGGAGGCCTCGGGCCAGCTGGGAGGCCCAGAGGGAAGGAGAGAGGGAAGGATGGAAGAACTTGTGAAAGTGGGACAAAGGGGGTGAGTTGAAACTCCACAAAAGGATCCCTCTTTGTAGAGTAGCTGCTGAGAGCTGAGAGGACCCCACCACAAGGAACTTGAATAGTCTAGAAATTTTGGTAGATTGTCATCCTGTTTATACTCATGGGACTGGGTGAGGGGAGAGGGGAGGGACGGCTGGTCCTAGATGTCCTGGGGCCAGAAGGGGCTTCATGATAAGGCTTGAGCCGAGTAGAAAGGGACCTGGTGCCCACAGTGTACAGGACCGGCCCCAAGAACTCTGCTGCTTCCCACCTCCTCACAGCCCGCAGAGTCAGGTCTCATACCACCCTCAACTCTATCTAGTTCCTCCTTTTCAGGCAGCCCCAAAGTAGTGAAGGGGTGAGGCTGGACCTCCCAGCACCTTCCACCCTGCAGGGAGAAAGCGTGACTTGCTGTGTGAGAGAGGGAGGTTATCACGGTGGGTGGGGTCAGCAGCCCAGTGGACCCTCGCATGAATGTTTCTTCAAGCCATTCACTCCCTGCATCTACCCATTCAGTTGACTGGCTAGTTATTGGGCATCATTTCTGAGCCGGGGCTGCTCTGGCAGAGTCTGAGTATCATAAGCTATGAAATGCCGAGAACAGCAGTCACTGCCCCAGTGCAAGGACTGGAGCAGCCAGTGGAGGGATCCAGATTCTTCTCATGCACCTCCAAGATGTGAGGGGCTGCTGCCTTCCCATGCCTGGGGTGCTAGGCATCCCTAGGAGAGTGGGTGGGTGAGGAGAAAGGGACAGGGGAGAGGTCTGTTCTTGGTGATACCTCCAGGTCAGGGGCCTTCTGCTCAGTGAGAATTTCTTTGCTAAAAGCCCCACTGGCCACAGCCCCCATCCGGGCGGAAATCCTTGACTCTCAGAACAGACACAAATCCCTCCTGGGAGCTGTTTGTTGTTTTTAGCTGGTTTGGGGCTCAGCTCCAGCCCAGCCTGGGGATCACTGACACTCCAGGAATGCAGCCTCCCCAACCAGCCCTCAGCCCCACTGCTGGCCCCTAGGGCCTCCCTCCTCCCACTCTGGCCATGGTTAGGCGTGTCAGAGTGCTCAGGGGTGAGGGCAATGACGAGGGACCTTCTCCCAAGGCCCTAAGGAATCCAGCCTCTTTTTCAGAATGGAGTTTACCTTTGTCGCCTAAGGTTGCTGCTGCTCCTGCCATCTCACCCACCCCCTGCCACTGATTAGCACCCCCAAATGGCAAAGTCTCAGCCACCTCCTATTAGATCTGACCCCCACATGCTTGTTTCCCAACAGCACCAGGTGTGTCTCAGGACAGTGGCTGAGAAGTGTTCATCCTCCAGGCCCAGCCTGAAGTAGCTGCTGGCAGCCTTGTCTAGGGCCAGCGCCTGGGTCCTTCTCCACCAGGACGCCTCCTCAGCCATAGAAGTATGTGGGTTCCCACTTCACCCCAGTCCCTCGCCTGGTGGAGGAGTAGAGAAGGAAGGAGAGAAGGTGGGGCAGATGAATGGACAGACGTCCACTCTTGGCCCCAGGCAAACCCAGCAAGGAAGTCAGGGAAAGGAGCTGCCCTCAGTCCTCTTCCAGTTCACATGTGAGTAGGGCACTGCTTGCTCCAGGGGTGAGCCATGAGCCTCGGGATTACAGAGAACAGGGAGCTGGAGAGGTCATGGTCGGCTACTGTGGGGCCAAGGACAGCTGGGCGCCCCTGGAGCCTTTCAGTAGGGAAATGAATCCACCTGGCAGCAGAGCGGAGGTTAGTGAGGATCTACGTGAGACGCTGGCAAGTCCAGCTGAGCTACCTCTCTGAAGGTCAAGGTGAGGAAGGGAAGGTGGGGCCTGGACCAGGTGGTAGGACAGGGATGGAGAGAAGTGAAGAGCCTCAGAATTGCTCAGCTCTTGGTGACTGACTGTGGGGAGCATGGCTGAGAGGAATCAAGATGGCCCTCCCCCCCACCCCACTGGGCACATGGATGGCAATGCCGGTTCTCCAAACCAAGAAACAGAGAAGGAAGTGCAAGTCTGCAGAGGTAACGCATTCTGTTTTACAAGTTTTTAGAGGTTTCTATGGGATGACCAAGTTGAGCTGTTAGGAGGCAATTGCGTGTGCTTGTCTGGAGCGCAGGAGGCAGGTCGGGATTGGTGGGTTGCCATTTATTGAAGCACCTGGAGCCAGTTAAAGGAACTCCCCAGCATGTCTGGGGGGGGACAGGGAGGAGCCCCCATACCTGAGGCCTGGGCAGAAACAGGAAGCTGTTCAGAAGGCTTAGCCACAAGAGAGGTGTTTGGGGTCAAATTGTGCCCCCCAAATTAATACATTGAAGACCCTACCCCTGGTACCTCAGAATGTGACTGGAGGTAGGGTCTTTAAAGAGATAATTAAGGTAAAACGAGGTCATTAGTGTGGACCCTAATCTGATGTGTGTGGCGTTCTCATTAGAGGAGATTTGGACACAGATGCACCTGAAGAACACCTGTGAACACAAAGACGGCCATCTGCAGGCCAAGGGGAGAGGCCGCAGACAGAGCCTACACTGCTGACCTCTGATCTCAGACTTTGGGCTGTGAGAAAAATAAATGTCCATTGCTCTAACCACTCAGCCTGTGGGACCTGCTGTGGCATCCCTAGCAAATTAATATGAGATCAGAGGAAGGCAAAGGGAGCATGGGATCCCAGGGACACGGAATGAGAATTCTTTGAATAGGAGGTGTTGTCCGTGCATTTAATAGGGGGCAAGAGTAGAAGGGAGATGACCATCAAGGCATGTCCCCCGAGGACCTGGAGAGCATGGTCACAGTGGGGTGTGGGCAGGGCAAAAGCCAGACCTGAGGAGTAGCACTCCCTGACTGCCAGTTTAGATAATTCTTTAAAGAAGTTTGGCTGAGTAGAGACATGGCAAAGCACACAGCAGGACATGGGGCTCAGGGAGGGCTTTAGCATGGAGCCTCTTAGGGAGACTTGGGCATGTTGAAACTCTCATAGGCAAGAGAGCAAGAGAGCAAGAGATGTGAAGGCAGGAAAGAACAACCCAGGAGTGAGGTCTCTTGGGGTGGCGAGACTCCTCCTTGCCCAGAAGTCTTAGTGGTAGCATGAGGCAGCGGAGGGGGTGAGTCTGAAGCAGGCAATATGGATCTGAAGGTGGGGAGAGGCCAGGCTTTCTTCCAGGCCTCCCAGCGTCACTCTGTACCTTTCTCCACTCACTCTCCATCCTCGGAGGCTGCTCATGCTGCCTGACTCCCACCTTTGGGAGTCTCGAACAGGACATTGGAGGGTTGGAGGAGAGTGATATTGGGGGGTTCATCCTCCTGGCCTTCTCTGCAGTCTGTGGCTCTCCCACAGCAGCTTCTTGTCTGGGTCCCACACCATCCTCTCCGTGTCCTCTCCTGTACCTTGCCTCTTCAGGGCTCCTCATTGTTGGGCTACTGCAGTCTCTTGGTTTCCCAAAATTTGTTAATTGTTCCTTTATTAAACTCCCCTCCAAGTATCCTGTCTGAAGGGACAATCTCTTTCCACTGGTCCTTAGACTGATAAGGTGGGTCCTGTCATGCTTTTTCTCTGAAGATGGAAGTAAGATCCTCTGCTGAGGCAGGAGAGGGTGACAGTTTGAGATATTCCCTGCAGAGAATGGAAGTGACTTTATCAACAGAGATGGGACCAGAGCTGAGGCTGGGACCTCAGACCTCAAGGGGCGCCATCTAGATCGATTGCCTGGTGTCCTCACAGACTCAGCCACGAGGGCAGGTGGGAAAGTGATTCAAGTAGGCTTGCTATTTTGCCAGGTAGGTGCAACTAAGGAGCTTTTGGGGATATTGGAGGAGAGAACAGAGTGCCAATGAGCTCAAAGCGTGCATGGAGGAAAGGTGAGCCAGTGCGCAGGAAGAAGGTGTGGTCTAAGAGCAAGGACATCTGAATGCGTGATTGAGAAAAGCCCACAATCCTGGGCGGTGATGAACCCTGCGAGTGGGTAATGATGGGGACAGCAGGGGATGAGAAGTTGGGGTGCTGGGGTGCATGTAGATTCCCAGGTCTTGGAGGACAGGAAGGCCATAAACCAGTAGCCACAGTCTTTCACAAATGAGGGGGTGTGACCAGGACAGGCAAGCACACATGGCCCACAAGCACAGCCACACACCCACACACACCCACACAGTCACACACACACACCCCCACAGCCCTCCTAGACTCTCCCAGACACCCTCACATGCACTCACCCTCACACACACCCCAGACAGCAGATGGGGCGCCCGGGTAATTGGTTAAACCTGTTCCCGATGTCTGGCTCCGCATTGGCAGCGCCCGTCTGACAGGAAAGCTGGCTGGGCCCGCACCGCTCAGCCTGCTGGCCTCCCCGCCCCTCCCCCTGCATGACTACCCTGGAGTAGGGGCTCCAGGAGAGGCCTGCAGGCCCCAGCCTGGCTCCCTCCTGTGCAGAGGCCAGTTCACTTGGCAGGGGCCCCACCAGGCCCTGTGGGAAGCAATCTCAGCACCTGTGAGGAGAAGTTGGTGTAAACAGAGTGCCGAGATGCTTAGCGCCTGAGCCATGCTGCTGTGGAGGCCATGGGGACTAACCCCAGAAAGTTCTATGGGTAAGAGGGTGTGGAAAGAACCTTCTCTGAAGGTGAAGATCGGGGCTTAGGCCATGAGAGTTAAGAACAGCTCACCTGTGTTCCCTCCAGTTTACCCACATGGGACTTGGGGTGCTCACAGGTGCTCATCAGTACCTCAGCCAATTGGACTCTGCAGGGCCTAGGAGGCCAGCCCAGCTGCAGGGAAATGACCAAGCCAGGCTCACACAGGGAAGGCCTGGCCGCCTAGCAGCTCCTCTTCACTGGTGTTCACCCCTGCAGGGTCTTGTCTCTAGGGGGAGGAGCGGTGTAGGGAGGGGAGGGAGCCTCATTCCTCGGCTTCTTCTCCCCTTCCCGGCTGCATCTGTGTCTCTTTGAGAGACTCTTTGGTTTGTTCCCTGGAGAGGACCCAAAAACTCCCAAATTAGCAAACCTGGCAAGCCCGCAGCTCAGAAAATAGTTCATCCTGATTCCATGTTTTTCAGGCTCACAGAAGCCTTTATTAATGAAGTCACAACACCAATATTTACCGTCTGCGGGGAGAG